ACATTTATGGAAATCGAAGATGGCGTGCATGAAGAGCTGTGTATGATGTACCCAAGAGCACCCAATCAAACGCTGAACAACTGGAGCATCACAGAAATCCCTGAAGTGACTCTTTTGGAAAAGTAATTCCCTATTTTTCTATTTTCCTAAAATCCTATGCTCTGCCCAAGGCATATGGATCATGTTGTAGGTCTCTTCCACTTTAAAAGCATGAACTTATCATCAATAAATAACTTTTGCATTCAATTGTGCTCTCTTTCTTTCATTTTTACTTTTGCACATAAAATAATTAAAAAGGAAATATTTTTTCTTAGCATTTTTCTTTTTCATTTTTCTTAAAATAAAAGCATGAAATCATCTATCGTGCATATTTTCTCCTGTTCCTGTTGATAACAATTCTGCTACAATAACAATAACTAAATAAAAAGTTAAAGTTAAAAAAAATTAATAATATATAAAAAATAATAAAACGACACAAAGGGGTACTGTCCCTTTTTTTCCTGTTTATTAACAAGATAAAAAAAATAGAGTTTAACCAAATGTTTTTTTTTTACTTTTTCAAATTTTAATATACTATCCAATGACATCTTGACATGTGTTCCTATAATAAAAGAAAATAATAATAAAATAAAAACGCAGTTAAACAGAGGAAGTTCCATTTCAAATTCATTTTCAATCTCTCTCATTCGATCTCAATGCTCTCTACCTCTCAAACCAATTTAAAAAAAAATCACATAGATTCATGGCACATAATTGAAATATAATCATAACAACCAGACAGATGATAACATAAATTAAAGCAAACACCCAACGAGAATAGAGAAGAGCACGAGTTACCGAAATCGAAGTGTCGCAACGGCACGAGCTTGTTACGTGGAAAAGAGTCAAATTTGAACGCAAAAGAGACATCGGTTGGTGCGTGATGGCGGAGTCTTGATGGAGTGCAGCGTCAAAGCGGTTGCGATCGATTCTCGGGGGCAATTACGTGGATGACTCCAGAAGCGGGCGACGATGAAGCTCATAATTCTAACTTTCTTTTACTTTTCCTGTTGTCTTTGGATCCAATCTCTTGTTGTTTTGAATTTTGTTTGTGTATTTTTTGTTTTTTCTAATACATATATATAGGACTAGAAAATAGACAAAAATGATAATAACAATTAACACAATATTTTTTTTTGTTTTTTTTTATAATAAAACAAGAATAAAAGGAATTAAAAATCATGTTTTTGTGTTTTTTATGATAAGGAAAGAATAAAAGGGATTAAAAATCATATTTTTGTGTTTTTTTATAATAAGACAAGAATAAAAAGAATTAAAAATCATTTTTTTTGTGTTTTTATTAAAAAGAAAATATCAATAAATAAATTAAAAATAAAATTAATTAATAAAAATAAAAATAAAAATTAAATATCTAATTAAATCTAAATAAACTAAATAATTATTTAAATAAAAATGATTAAAAAATGAAATAAAAAGTCGGGCAGAAAAGTGCTCGAAAAAATAAAATGAACACACCAAAATAATCAGCGCGAAATAAACATATAGGAAAAATACAACATTTGGTAAGATTTTGAAATAAATTTAGACCGGTTTGTCTGTAAATCCAACAAATTTATTCTGACTGACATTTCAGATACTATGCAAGATGAGGTGCATGCTATGCTATGCAGATGAAGCAAAACAGAATCTTAGGGTAAAAAATTAGGATATGACACAAACCAATTCTCGATTAATTGTTAAGTCACTTTTCAAAACACCCTTGTAGGTTGAGCACCTTTTGCCTCGCCATCTAACACACACATTTGCACCTTTCGTGGTTTCGTTATTAGAAGCATCCCTAGGGACTAGTATCGATTTTGACCTCCTTCGCCAACCCTTGATACAACGTCAAGTGGTATTTTATTCGAACTTGTAAGATAAACTCCTTTTTATCAACCTCTTTTCTCAACCAATCCGGTTATATCTTTTCCAAACCACTTTCTCAAACAAACTTCAATATAAGAAGATTCTTGGAGTCTCGCATTCCTTGAATCTTCGAATGAATGGCTCTTGAGGCGCACACCTTGAGTTGTTATTCATTCAACCTTTCGTTCTAAAAACACTTAATCTTTATCAAACATTTTCTTAATCAACTTACGAAAGAAGAAGATTCTTGGAGTCTAGCATTCCTTGGATCTTCGAATGAATAACTTTCTAGGCACGCCCCTTGGGTTGTTATTCATTCATTTTTTCAACTTTAAAATGTTCAACCTTTCCTCAAACCTTTTCAAATCAACTCCCGAAAAACTGAGTTCTTAGAATCTCGCATTCCTTGGATTCTTGAGTGACAGATCTCGAGGCACGCCCCTTGGATTGTTCGCCATTCAATATTTTGTTTCCAAACTAAACTTCAACAAATTCAACCCCCTTTTTTCATGGTCGTATCCACGAGCTACAGACGCTTTGATTCTTTATTCTCGTCCGAATAAAGATACACAGGCACAAGATTTCGATGATCATGGCGATCTACCTTTTTCTTTTTCCACCATCTACATCATAATTCTACCCATCTTCCGTTTCCCCCTTATCTTTTCCTGTAGTAGAATTACGAGCGCTCTGATTTCTCATTCTCATCCTAATGAGTATACGTAGGCCCAAGAACCCAAATCCTTGCCGAGCACCCTAATCTAAAACCACCCATTTTTTCCTTAGCATTGATTTTTTTATCGTACCGTTTCACATTTATCATTGAGAAGAAAATAAACAAGATTAGATAATGCTCATCACAAATTAAACTAAGATGTTCCCATTGAGTACAACGGGCATGAGGGGTGCTAATACCTTCCTCTTACGTAACTGACTCCTGAACCCAAAATGTGGTCGCGACGACCATGTTCTTATCTTTTTAAAGATTTTCTCGATATTTTCCTTTCTCTCTTTTGGGATAAATAAAGTTCGGTGACAACTCTGTCGAACCATATTCCGCGCCTTTCACGCAAGGGTCGTATTTCTTGATTATGTATTTTTCAAGGTGCGACAAATAGTAGATTCAAGATCTGCACCTGAATGAACTGCCTGCATATTATATGATCAAATGAAAATCATTATCTGTAAACATAAATGATAAGTTGGCCAAATATGTAGATATTTTTCTTCTGATTTTGCGACCAAAGAAGCCTTGACTTGTTGTGTTTGTTTTGATTTGGAGATTTAAGTATTTTTTTTCCCGAATTTAGGACCAAATAACCAGTGACTTATTGTGTTTGTATCGATTTGGGGCTAGTTTTTAGGACCAAATAATGGTGATATTTTAATGCCACGATAGAAGCTATTGTTAATCTAACACAAACAAACATTCACCAACAAGTCACAATACAATAACCATAACCACACAACATGAATCACATTTAACTCCAAACAAATATTACCAACAAACAAATAAACATTTACACATTTACATGGTATCTCCAAGGCCATTATTGTGAGGAAAAATAGTTTTTTTTTTTGTAAACATAGTTATGGACATGAGTAGAATTAATCCTATTAAAATTTAGAATTCCAAGCCTTGTTGATAAAGTATCATTCTAATATTCAATTAACATATAAATCCAGTTTTCAGCGGAAATATGTGGAATTGGAATACTTCATCCCTCACTCATAACACTCTCTAACCAAAAGACAAGTATTTTCCATTAGTACCTATTGAATCAATATAATATCTTAGAAAATGAAGTAAACAAAAAAGTCATTATTTTTTACCTATAACATTTGACCAATTTTCTCCACAAGATTCATCTTGCTAATAAGATCCTCAACCCAAAGATCAGGCAAATCTCTAAGGTCTTTATACTTTTCATGTTTTCTGTCTCCAATGAAACAACCTAATTACTTAATAGCCAAAGCCCTACCAAAAAGAAGGCAATTTAGTCATTTTAGCACCTCTTATGTATTGAATCTAATGCATGAAACCATAACCTCTTTTTTCTTCAATTTATGGAAAGTGAAGACAATTTCATACTAATATTTTATAGGAAAAACACAAGCCACTCATGCTTAAATGAATAAGAGATAATGTGGAAGAAGTTGTATAACATACATAACCACACATATAGATTTGGAACATACAACTTTATAACTCTGTCGATGAAAAAAACATATTTAGATATGGAACACACATGCTTAAATCAATAAGAGAAGTAAGCTTTGTTAGTAAATAATAATAATAATAAAGAATTGACTTCATTACTTACTTGCTGCATCCCCATCGTTTATTCAGAGGAATAGAAGGTTTTTGTGTTCTTCCCTTTCTTAAGTTGGATATCATCATAAGAAGCTTATTAAAATCAAACTTTATTGAAATCAAACTTGAATGAAATTAACCCAGATCGAATTTGAGACCTAATTGAAGCTGATTGAACAAATATGTGGCCTAATCTTTGTCGAAGATGATTGAATGACGTTGTAACCTAATCTTTATTGAAACTGATTGTTACCTAATCTTCGTGGTTTTTTGAAAAGAGAGATTATGGATTTCTAGTTTTATGATACAAGATTTTGAGATATGAGTTTAAGGAATGTGAATTTGAGATTTTTGTGAAAACAGGGTTTAGAAAGTGCTAGTAGTATGAAATTAAGAAGGAAGGAAATGGAAAACACAAGGTTGATAAATTCTAGTAGCGAAAGTTTAAGGGGGAAGGATGCGGCTGTTGTAAAACCATCCTAACAAAGGTGGGAGGGCGGTTCAACAACCCTCGTAGACCTCATTTGCAAATAAAATGTTTTTTTTTGGTTTAAAAGGCTACGACACTTGTCCGTAACCATCGTGGAAACCGTCCTAAATGTCAAATGAGGGAAATTTTTATGTAAGTGTCGCAACTCAAGTGTCGCAAATCCACAAAACTCTTGTAGTGAAAAGGGGTGTATTGACATCTGTCTGGCATGCTTTTGTTATTTCTTACACATAAAATAGTTTTATACTTACATATTCATGACTATAATTCAGGGGTTGTTGCCTGCACTTGATGAGTTGCTACCAGATGTTGACCAAAAGTTTTGTGTTATGTAAACATTCAAATGCTTGGGAAAAAATTATGCATGAAATGAAAAGTGTTAATGAAGAGGCATTCAAGCACCTTTGGAAGATTCCACCAAGGTTTTGGAGCAAATCAAGGTTTAGAACTAGTCCAAGGTGTGATACTTTGGTGAACAACATGTCATATGCCTTCAAATTAGTATCTATAGCTACAAGAGCCAAGCCTATTATGACTATGCTTGAAGAGATAAGAGTGTACCTGATGCAAATATGGGAATCCAACAGACAAAAGATTTCCAAATTTGATGATACCATTCAGCCAAATATCAAAAAGAATATAGAAAAGGAATCACAAAGAACAAACAATTGGATTGTTAGGTAATGTTTCATACTTATTTGAGACAAAGAACAAACAATTGATATATCATTGGTCCATAATTAATTTCTTCATTTACAACATGCGTGCAGGTGAATTTAACTACGAGGTTAGGCATATATCACTAAATGGAAAAAAGTTTGTTGTTAATCTATCAAAGCATGAATGTTCATGTAAAAGGTGGATGCTGACATGGCTATCGTGCTGTCATGCAATTTCATGTATGAAAGACCATCATTTACAAGTAGATGATTTTGTGCCTAATTATTACAAAAAGGAGTGCTACGAGGCTTGCTATGCACTAGTGATTTATCAAGTTAATGGAGAATCTCTTTGGACAAAAACAAATGTTGTTGACCTTTAACCACCCCTCATAAAAGGCAGCCTGGTAGACCCAAGAAGAAAAGGAACAAAGAGGCTAGGGAATAAGTGAGAAATGAGACACAACTCAAAATGGAAAATTTTGGTATCAAATGCAATCGGTGCCATAAGGATGGTCACAACAAGGCCACCCAAAAAGAAAAGGAGACTTTAAAAGGGCCTAAAACCAGTCCTGAGTCTATGTTGGTCTTTGATGTGTACTAGTTATGCCACTTTTGGACTATTTTGTAGTTTATGACTTATGACTTATAATGCCACTTTTGTTGGTTTTTTGCTGCTTTAACATATGGCATACAATGCCTATTTTGTAGTTTATGACTTAAGGCTTACAATGCCACTTTTGTTGGTTTTTTGCTGTTGTAACATATGGCATACAATGCCTATTTTGTAGTTTATGACTTATGACTTACAATGCCACTTTTGTTATGACTTATAACAACTATTGTATAATGTAACTTTTGTTATCACTTAAAATGCAACTTCTGCTTTGGTTATGCCTTATTATTGAAATGATAAGGAATGTCATGCTTATGTTACACCAAATTAAAATGCAACTTCCAAATTAAAAGTGCATTTGTTATGATATATTATGAGAAACAAAAGTAACGTTTCTCCAAATTAAAAGTCCATTTGTTCTGATAATTCATGGGAAACAAAAGTAACATTTCATTAATACCATCATGATAAATACATTTCATTGATAAATGTTGACACATACATAACAATGTTGACAAATACATTTCATGACAGATACATTTCATTGATAAATGTTGACACATACATCTCACCAACCTAAAAATACATTGTTACAAATACAACATTAAATACTAAGCTCAATATTCTAATCACAATGGACACTTTCAACCATCCTCTAGTGCGAATAATCTCATTCTTCAATTTGTAAATTTTCTTCTTTTGCCTTTGAATCTTCAAATCTCTTTTATCAATAATATCGTCATCTAACCATTTGAAGAAATTACAACCCTTATTCACATGATTTATGTAATTTTTGCAACCTAAAACTTTATTCCAAAATTAACACTATTCATGTCACCCACAGTATGAAGGACACATTGATCTTGGCAATAACATTCCCTCCTCTTGTTTCTACGAATAACCGACCCGACTGTTTCAATGAAAGCACTGCTCGACAAATTAGACATTGGAGAATATTAAAACCTTAGAAATGGGGACAAGATGAAATGAAGGAAAATCGATGAAACCCTTTCTGCAATCTCAAACAACAAAAACGAAGAGATTAAGAAGGCAAGAAAACACACCAACATAGTGAATATGTGATACGCACAAACACTTTTATGGAAAATATGAAGACCTTTGATAAAATTGAAACCCTTAAATACTGATCTATTTATCCTTTTGCTGAGTCATTACACAGTTGGCATGCCATGTTGGCAATTACTAACTTTTTCACAGTTGAACTAACAAAAGAGATCGATTATGCTAATAGAACTAATATTACGAGACTAAACTTAACAATTTTTTATTGAGGGACTAAATCGTAACTCAAGGTTAACTTACGGGACTTGGGGACTAATTATACATAATATTTAATATATATCCAATATGACCATCACTCTAGTCATCACCATTACGACCACTATCAACGACCATATTTACTACCGTCAACTACCACTTTATCCATTGTCGATCACATCCTGACTACCAACCACCACTATCGACTACCACTCTTACTTCAAATTTAAGTAATTTATTTTAAATTTAATATAAAAAATTATAGTAAAAGAATGAATATATAAAATAACTTTTTAAACTATTTTTTATTAAATTTTTTTTTTAAATTTAAACAAAAAAAATTAAACATTTAAAATTTTGAAAAAGACGAGTTTTTTTTATCTTATTATTACTAGCGTTCAGATGGACACGAGAATATTCAAACGTTTAAAAATACAAACGTATTTTTTGTGTGTTTATTTTTTTTTTTAATTTAAATTTTATATAAAAAAATTGAATGAAATAGTTGTGCAAACTACCATATATCAGTTAATAAAAAAAGTTAGTAAAAGAGAAGTTGAATTTTAAAATAAACAACAAAAGAGTATAATTCAAATAAAAATAGGTTACACCAAATCTAAGTTTTCCCTTTATATATACTAGTGTCAACTCATAAGTGTTCGTCTGACCGTTTTCTCTAATATCGACTTTCATAAAATATAATTTATATTATATTTTAATTTAATTTTAAATTATTTATAAAATAGGTAAAAATAATAATATAAAGAATAATAAATTGGAGACGGTTAAACTATCGTGTAACCGTTGTTGTGAAAAAAAAATTAAAATTTAAAACAAAAACTAAAAAAGATAAATTTAGAAGTAAAAAAAACTTTATCAAACTAATGTTTTGCTTTTATATAGATTATTATAAATTATTATTTTTTTAGTTATTTGACCATTAGGAGAGATATCTTTATCTCTATTTTTTTTTATACAATGTGTTTATCTCTATATTTATCTATATATCTACTACTTTTTTAATTTTAAAATTTTTAAAAAATTTTCTCTTTATATTTTAAACACATTTAAAAAGTATAAAAAAAAAAAAAAATACTTGGCAACAAATTTTGATGTCCAAATAAAAATTATCTTATTTTATTTGAACATCAACTCAAAAAAAAAAAAAAAATGGTCCCCATTTCTTCTTGCTTTCTATTTCCAACACCTCCCCCTACATTGGATGCACATCTACTTCCCTCTGCAACTCTCTCCTTTCCCACCACCTCCATGTCTATGGCAATTCCAAGGTACCATCTTTCTTCCTCTTCATCATCTCTAATCTTACCCTCTCTTTCATGCTCTCACTCAACCATTCCCACACCAACCGTCTTTTTCTCCACTCTCCCACTCTCAACACCAGCTCGCTGTAAAGTTTCAATTTTTTTCTTGTAAACTTGTTTTTATCCTCTCGATTTGGATACCCTTTTGGCCCTTTTGTTTGATTGTCACCTCGGTGGCACCCAAAACCCCAATATTCTTTTGGGTTTTTCATCATCTAGATCAGTTTTTCAGAACTTTTTTTTTTTTTGTGGAGTTGGATAATTCAAGAGGATCTTCTATTTTTGCAGAGGATCTTGTCTCTCGTGAGGCTTTTGAGATTGAGAAAAAATGGGTCAATTTAAGGGAGGTTTTTCTTTGACTGCCAAATCCCTTTTTAATTTTTGAGATTTTATTTTTGTTTATTTTTTTGTTAAATATAATTTGGAAAGGTATATAGATATATGTGTGTGTAATTAGGGTTCTAGATTGTACTTGATTTTGAGGGTTCTGGTTAGTTTTATGTTGTAAGGTAGCCGAGGTTGCTCGGAGGGTTATTTGTTTGCTATGATGATGTTATGTTATAAGGTTGTTACTTTTGGACAAATGAATTGAGGGTCTTGATTGGACCCTATATCTGGTGTTGTGGTATTCTCTTCAACATGACGGTCAATGGTTTGTGTTTTGTTGAATGGAAAGAACAATTTGTTTCACAAGAGCGCGGCCATCGGGTGGTTCACTATTACCTAAAGGATTCTGCTGGAGAATCATTCCTCGCAGTTGTTGGCACTGAGAGGAGTGTTAGACACATGTGCTATGTTATTGCTGAGGATTTCCTTGAAATCTGCGGAATGGAGGGTTTGTTTCCGCCAGGTTTTAAATGGAGATCTAGAAGAGAGGTTGTCGATTGGTTGACATCGATGTTATCAAAGCAGCATCTTCAGGGCGATAGAAGTGGTAAGTCAATGGTTCTTATTTCTAATCCGACCGTCTGTTGCTGTATATAATTTTTTTGGATACAATGATATTATACGAATGCTATGGTTTTATGGGATTTGATCAAATGATATTTGCTTTTGTCTGAAAAATTAGCAATATGGACGAAGTTTTATAAATTTGTGTGCCATTATTTGTAGTAGTAGAGTGGTGCATAATACTTAGGCCTCCGCCTCGGGAATAAATTGAAATAAGTCAATCCAGACAAACCCTTAATGATCAAGTAAATTAATAGTTTTTTGGATTTCAAATTACAGTAAGGCCTTCACATAATTTGGAACTAGCTCACGAGATCACAAATGGTGATGTTAAAGAAGTTACTGGTCTTTCTGCACAAATGGTGGATGACAAGGTACATCCCTCCTTTTGTCTTTCTCCTTACTCTTACTGTCAATTTTTTCATCTACCGTTTCCGATGAATGTTTTTGATGAACGCATACTCCTCTTTCTCAGGACTTTCCAAAGAGTAACTCCAAAATATCCAATTCAGACATCGTTTGGTCAGGACTTGCGTGGACATGTGGCAAACAACTCAAGCATTATCCGGCGTTTTGCAGAAATGGCATCCAAATAGGGGTAAGAAGCAAGCCTCTGAACTATAAATCGAGCGACATGTCGGCTAAATATGTTTCCTTTGTGATTCAAACATAATATTTAGATGTCTTCTTATCTCACGAATACAATCTTTCTAATATTCAGATTCAGTCCTTTGTTTTTGTCATGGGCAATGGAGAGAACCATTATGTTGCATATTTAGATGATATGTACGAAGACAGAAGGGGGCAGAAAAAGGTAAAAGTACGGTGGTTTCATCATAATCAGGAAGTCAAGGGTGCAATTCCCGTACGAAATCCTCACCCTCGTGAAGTTTTCATCACATCTTATTCTCAAGTCATCAGTGCAGAGTGTGTTGATGGACCTGCCACAGTTTTAACCCGTGAACACTACGAAAAATGCACACCTTATTTTTCACCCTCTTCAATAGACAGAATACATTTGTGCTTTAGGCAATTAAAAGGCAACAAAGTCAAGCCCTTCGACTTAAGTAAACTGCGTGGCTACTATACTCAGCCAGCTCTTTCTTCCTTGCATGTTGATGGTATCCATAACACTGAGGCTCACAGCAACAGCCTCACAGGAGAAGATGAAGATTTGGATGTCGGCGACGATACAAAGCGTGGAGCCAAGAGGAGTAGAAATGTTAAGGATTCTCCTCCTTCTTGTAACGGTCGACAAGGGGTTAGGAAGTTGATTAGAAGTAATCAAATAATGGGATATCAAACTTTCCAGGTTGTGAATTATGTGAGGCCAGATAGGAGATTGCTTTCTCTAAAACCGATCCAATGTCAACATTGGTATAACCCGATTTACAAAGTTGATGACAAGATAGAGTTGCTCTGTCAAGATAGTGGCATCCGAGGCTGCTGGTTCAGGTGTACGATTTTACAGGTTGCTCGGAAAAAGCTGAAAGTCCTATATGATGATGTTCAGGATGAAGATGGAAGTGGAAATCTTGAGGTATAATCGAACCTTTGAGATATTCTAATGTTCATTTGTTAGTACTTGGAACTATCGTTAAATACGTACATAAATTCAAAACTTTTATATTGATCTCCATTTTTAGGAGTGGATCCCTGCTTTTAAGTTGGCCAAGCCTGATAAACTTGGGATGAGACAACCTGGCCGATTGACGATAAGGCCAGCTCCACCTTTTGAAGAACAAGAAGTGATTGTTGAGGTCGGAACTGCCGTTGATGCATGGTGGAGTGATGGCTGGTGGGAGGGTGTTGTAACTACAATTGAGAACTGTGGCGATGACAGTGTTCAAGTCTACCTTCCTGGTATGCTGTTTTGTTGTTATCTTTTTCTCTTTCTCTCTCTTTAAGACCCTGTTTAGATAAACAACTTAATTAAACAATATAATTTCACCCTTAAGTACTTTTGTATAAGCCATTTCTATAACTAAAAATAAAATGAGTAAATCCAAACAAACTCAATTTTTTTTTTATCCTTTTCAAATTTGTTAGACTTTTTTTGTGGTATCAGGTGAAAGCTTGCAAATGACAGTACATAAAAAGGATTTAAGAATATCTCGAGATTGGTTCGATGACACGTGGATTAGTATAAAGGCAAAGCCTGATATAACCCCGACTATATTAACTTCTGATAGCTTTAACACAAGTCTCTCCTTGTCTCCATCTATGGCTAAAGATGTAGACTCCGTTGGTTTTGCTAATTCATGTCATGACATTCCTGCTAGTGAGAAGTCTAACGAACTCAATATTTTTGAAGAGAAACTTGTATGCTGTAATGTTGCTGAAGATGAGGTTTGTCTCCAAAATGATAATTCTCCTTCTGAAAAAAATACTCAAGTTGTTGATATCGAAGATAATGGTTGTAATGATGATAAAGACAGCAGCGAGAATGATGATAACAAGAATGATTATAGTAACAATAGGGATGTGGAGGTCATTGGGACTTCTGGTGTTGACTGTAAAGGTGCACAACTAATGGAAGTGGCAGTGTGATCATTTTTTCCGAAATGATGCATAAACATATGACATACGTTGATCATAGTTTTAAATTGCGGACCCAACTGCAGTTCTGGCCTCAATATGGTCTTTGAACGGCTTCACGACTGCAATTAAAGACACACCGGTGCATTTGTCTGTATTTTAGTGTAATATAAAGGTTTACAATATAACTGCGACTGCGATGGCAATTGTGATGATTGTAGAGCTTTGCCATCTTGTCATGGTTTGTTGTAATGTGTTTCAATTTTAGTCTTGATAGAATGTAATGTAAATAGTAGTTGTAAGGGATTTGAGGAAGCTAATTGATTTTTAACTTTTATAGATGGCTTTATAAATGTACAGTGTTGAGTGTACTCTAGAAGTATTTGTTTGTCCTTTCAGTTGGTTGTTGTAGAAAGTAGATTTTTTTTTTTGTGTAAGAGACCATATATTGTCGAGTAATTGCACAATTTTTATGATGATTAGCACATTTTGAAAGCACTGTCTTTGAATTTTGGGTAAATTATATTTTGTTTATAGCTATTACAAAGATTGATATCAATCATTTGAGCTTGTGTTCCATTTCAAACAAACAATTGGTATCTAGTCCTTCCGGCAAGCTTTGATTTGGTGGGGTGATATCCGTCAACACTACACGTCCAACTCAATGGTTGTTTGATATAAGAGTTTTTAAAAAAAATGTGTACTGATTTCTCAAGTTCATAAAAAAATGTGTATTGATTTATCAAATTTGAGATCCGTTGCATAGGGTCTTATTAGGGTTTCTAAAGGTCCTCATCCCTTAGTTTCAATCATAATCGTTCAAGTTGACAAATGTCAGTATATAATTCGTTATATTATCTGATGTTTCTATTTTGACTTCATGTGCAGATCAAGTGCTTCTTAGGGAAGGTATATGTTTGCTCTACAAATCCTAATGTTTGTTAGGCAACTGATATCAAAATATATATTTTGTCTTCTGATGTCATCATTCTAACGTCACTCTTATCATAAACATCTTTAGCTTTTGGATTTTATGACTACATTGCTCTCATTTTTATTAGACTAGTTTAGGGGCCAAGACCGAATAAGAATAGTTGTCCCTCAAGCCCACTCCAATGCTGTCGAGGTAAGGCTTACAGTTGTCGAGGTAAGGCTTACAGTTTTGTGTTGTTCCTTTATTGAGGTAAGGCGACAAGGCTTACAATTTTGTGTTGTTCCTTTGTCGAGGTAAGGCTTACAGTTTTGTGCTGTTCCTTTTTCTTTTGGAGTTTGGGTTTCCTAATTTTTACCGGTCCCTGATTGCCTCTTCTCATTCCATAGTGTGATGTGGATCAAACTTCTCTTTCTTGTATTATATTCTAATTTTGTATATTGGCTTTGATTTTCCAACTATTCCTTAGACTTTGGCTAGAGTTACTTGTCTTCTTTTGCCATTTACTATAATGTACTTCAATAATTTCTTTAGTGGTTATAGGCATGATATGCTTTCTCTCTTAGGTAAGAGACTTATTTATTTCGTTGTGAGGAAATGTAACTTCATACCTGATTTTTCCCTATTTTTCTGAACATTGAAGCCCATTCTTAGTTGCTTCATACCTAATTCTTCATTATTTGTGGTGATTCATTCCTCTTGGTGAGTTTCTTCTGCATCCATTAAATACAAACTTGATTTTTTTTTGTGGCACTTTTTCTATCCTTTTTATATGGAAATGTGAATCTTTTAAAGGATTGAGTGCTCAATGTTTTCTCTAAATTGATAACTAGGGTTTTGAATTTATGGAGATACAATTTTGTCCTCAGAACTTATTAGGCCTGGCGAGTAAGATTGTTTGATTCGTAATGTGATTTTTTTCTAGTGTTTCACTTGTAAGAGACACTTTAAGAAACTTTATGCATATAGTTTTTTGGGAAAAAGTCGATCGACATACTCCCTTTCTTAGAGAGATGATCATAGGTGATTATACATGCTTTCCTCCTGGCGGTTTCATCATCTCAAAAAATATGGGTCACTTGGGAGCTAGTATAAAAAAATGTATATAGGGTGTCACTGATGATTTGCACCATTTTAACCAAGTAAACCTCAAGCAAACACCAAGGCTCGTTAGCTGGCGTGCTAAGCGAGATATGGTGGTTTAGAAAGCTTCAAGTCTAAGGTAGTTCAAGCAAAGAAAGTGTTTACTTACTAAGCGAGCTAGAGGCGAGCTAAACAACATGATCGCTTGCAGATGAGATGATTTTTCATAATGAGGAATATTATAGGTATGTTAAGCGAACTCTGAACCTTGATTAGCAAGAATGGCAGTAAATGACACTCTAAATAAGGGTTTATGTTATTTAGTTTAAGATAACTTGATGTAATTTGATAAAATTAGGTAGTTTTCTTGGTATGGAGTGAGAGAAATCCATTTTAGACTAGAAACACAACACTAGAGGAAAAGAGAGAGAAACTGCTAGCAAAAGCTCGACCTAGGAATCTACAACAATTGTTGCCCAACATCTTATGGAACCTTGTTTTGCAAGTTATTAATCAAGGAAGTTCCATTGAAGGTGAACATGTTGTCATACCCTAAATTTGTCCTACCTTTCCTACTTTTCTTATCACAAATAACAAATGCTTTTAAATGATCATTTGACCTTGGGCCATAGTCTTCTATTTATTTCACATGTCTTGGAGTCTTTGTTGGCTGGTGTTTAATGTGGTCATATGGAAAGTGTGGGGTCCCATTGAAGACAAGAGAAGGTTAAGTCATGCTTATGGTAAAAAAATCAAAATATGGTTGGATGGTTAAAACATGATTCAAGCTATAAGACATGAGCTATTTTAGGGCATGCTCAAAGAGTCCACAATGAAGGTTGTAGTATGTCATGTTCTCGAGTGGCCAGCTTTGAGATTGGTTGTTGTTTTACTCATATTTAACTCATTTTCTCAAGAATTGGTCTATGGAAGACCTTATTTTTTTTTTTTTTAGGGACCAATTCCAAGCGTTATCCATTTCAAATGAGAATTCAGTATTGACAAGGGCTTGGTTTCAAGATTTGAATGTGGGATCAACTTGGGGAATTTTAAGTTTTAATTGTTATTTTTGTGGGAAATGAAGAACTTAAAGCATTTTTAAGTGATTTCAAAGGTGCAAGGATTAAAGTTGAAAATTATAATTTAAAAAAAACCACTCATATCTCAAGAATCCATACACTTGCCTTCCATACAAAATTGTCAAGATTGGGATTCAAATTACAAAGACCATAGTGTCAAATTTGCAAACACAATGTTCAAAACATTCTTGTTACATATAGACTCAAAATTCACAAAAAGTATACACCAAGAATCACAATTCAAGGTTACAAGTGTAAATAATAAGGCCATTTTCTTTTGAATGTGCAATGCTAATTGGTAATTTATGGCAGCAGGACTCATCACCAAAAGAACAAACAAATTTGTTGTTTTCCGTACAGTGGTCCCACGATGCAAGCAGCAGTAAAAGACCACCCCTTCAAGTTGCAGCGAGACATCCCTAGAGTCATTATACACCAACTAGTTCACCTGTCACTAATCAGCAAAAAGGGCTGCCTTTCCAATGTACCTGCAGCATAACCAGTCATATCAAATTGCTATACCTCCCATAAAGAAAGTTGTACGTACAAATTGTTCACAAAAAACCACCTTCCCATAGCAAGTGCCAAGGACAAGACAGACACCACAAAACTGTGATGTTTCAATACGCACATCCTGTGCCCTGCATCTCCACCACTGCCTTATACCAGCTGAAATCCCTCACACCACACATCTGTTACACAAAAAAACGCGCAGACTGCATCCCATTCCCATAGCACAAATATTGGTATGCGTAGGGACCGCGCGTCCAATACAGACAAAACTGTTGCTACATAAACATCCCAATGGCAAACACGAGGCCCCCTAAATTGTACCTGCATTAACATAACACGAGACACATTTGCTTCAAGTCATGGCCAGCATCCAAAGCGCGTCTTTTACAAGCATATGACCAACTGCTAAAAAAAAGGAGGGTGTTAAAACAGCATTACCAAAGGTGAAGAATTGGCTACAAACAGACTCATCATGAAATCAAAATTGACCCATAACAGCTCAGATTTGGCGTCACCATCTCACGTTCTACTCAGCAAGAATTACAGCGCATCAGCCATTATCATGATAACACACCTGTTGATTCTGCAACAACCCACGATTTGCGATTCACACGTATCAGCTACACGAACCAATACAGCTTGTCCTGCAAATCCAAAGAGAAGCAAAACCAACTTGTGTGAGAGGCAAGGCATAACATAAACTGACAAAAATAAAGAGGAAGTTGTATTACCATAAGAAAACTGTAACAAATTTTACACACAAAAAACGAGTGATGGCCATGATTCACAGGGTGCACCCAACATCGGCAAAGTGTACGTTTAAAAATATAGTGTCATACAACGCCCTTTAGAGGTCGAATTGTACTCACAACAGACAAAATCAATAAAATTGCACACCACTTCATCTCAAAAATTATCATGCTACGAGAGTCACATACGAATCAGCAAACACATCCTCAAGCTGGCCCACCAAATTGCATCCGCAGCAGAGAAAACGCAGTGCCACAATCCACCCATGATTCAGTACTATCAATACAAAGAGGAGACACACAATAAATAACAAACCTATACATCCCATCCAAAAAAAATTTCACATGTAAAAAAGAAATCAAAACAACAACAATTCTTTCCACCCTGAAAACCCTCAAATACCCTTAAGATCCTTCAGTATCCTCTATAAGTATAACCTTCTTCACCCTCATTAAGGGGGGGGAGAAGCCAACAAATCCTGAAAAAAGTTCTTCCTCAAATCCCACTTCAACAACCTTCAAGCTTCACCTCCTCCCTCACTTTCTCGAGCAACCACAAGCCCTGTGTCTTCTTCCTCAACCTCCATACCCATTTCAACCATAAAACCAATTACACTTTCAAATTTTCAACTGAACCCTTCTAACCGCAACAGCTTC